AAAAGGAGAATTATGAGTTGTAGGCAGTGTTGAAAAGATATGTCTTTATGGATGTCTTGAATATGGAGAGTGAGGAGGATTCTCTAATGCTTCTGGGGAGTGACTTCCAGAGGGTTGGTGCAGCAATGGAGAAAGCCCTGCCACCTTTGCTCTGGATGGGGGTGGACAGGAGGCAAGCATTTGCTGATCGGAGGGTGTGGGTGGGAGTTTTCCAGTGGAGGAGTTTAGTCTGGTAGGGGGGAAGCCATGTTATGGAGAGCTTTGTGGGTGATCAGGAGGATTTTGAAGTGGACAAGCTGGGAATGGGGAGCCAGTGAAGGTTCTGAAAGATGGGAGTGATGTGATCATGGTTGCGGAAGTGGGTGAGCAGGCGTTTCTTGAGGGATTTGGGTGATGTACCGCAAAGAAGACTGATGCAGTAGTCAAGTCTGGATGTGATAAAAGCATGGATGAGAGTTTTTGCAGCTAAAGAGGGGAGGGATGGACGGAAGCCGGTCATGTTTTTTAGATGGAAGAAGGCTGTTTTGGTTATGTGCTTGATATGATGGTCGAAGGAGAGGGTTTGGTCAAAGGCAACGCCTAGATTTCTGATGTGAGAGCAAGTGAGTACAGTGGAGCTGTTGATGGTGAGGGAGAAGTTGTGGGTGGATTTGGTTAGTGATTTTGGACCAATAATGATGATTTCTGATTTGTTACTGTTTAGTTTTAGAAAGTTTGCTCGCAGCCAGGATTTTATCTCTGTTATGCAGTTGGTGAGGGCTGAATGGGTGACAGTGGTGATTGTTTTGGTGGAGATATAGAGCTGGATGTCATCAGAAAAACAGTGAAACTGGAGTCCATGCTGTTGGATTAGGTGACCAAGGGGGAGCATGTAGAGGATGAAGAGGAGGGGGCCGAGAACTGAACCTTGGGAAACACCTTGGGAGAGGGGCGCAGTGGAGGATTTTCAATTATTGACGCTGATGAACTGGTGTCTGTCAGAGAGGTAGGATATGAACCAGGAGAGGGCAGTGCTGGTAATGTTGAAGACTGTTTCAAGGCGGGAGAGAAGGATGGAATGGTTGACTGTGTCAAAGGCAGCACTGAGGTCGAGGAGGATGAAGATGTTTAATTTTCCGACATCAGAGGAGAAAAGGTCATTTGTAACTTTGAGGAGGGCTGTTTCGTTACTGTGGTTAGAGCGGAATCCAGATTGGAAAAATTCAAACAGGTTATTGGCAGAGAGGTGGGCTTTGAGTTGTGATACCACAAGATGTTCCAGAATTCAAATCAAATCAAGTTTATTGTCATCTTGCCTGTCGCTCAGGTGGTAGAGCGAGTCGGTCGATGATCGGAAGGTCGGCAGTTCAATTCCGCCCTGTAACCTGTTTCATGGTCGTTGTGCCCTTAGGCAAGACACTCCACCCGCCTTGCCTGGTGTGAATGCGTTTTGTTGTTGTTTGAGGTGGTGGTCGGAGGGGCCGTAGGCGCAGAATGGCAGCCACGCCTCTGTCAGTCTGCCCCAGGGCAGCTGTGGCTACAATCGTAGCTACCACCACCAGAATGAATGTGTGTGAATGAATAATTGACAGTGTAAAGCGTCTTTGAGTGCCTAGAAAAGCGCTGTATAAAACTGATCAATTATTATGATTAGTACAGGCAAGATGAGAGAGCGTTTCTTCAGGATCCAATAACTTAAAGCAATTTAAATAAAGAAGTGTTTGCATATCTGGATCAGCAGTTCAGCATTCAGGCAAATTGTAGCATGAAGCTCTTGATCATTATCTATATTATTATTTATATTTTGGACAGAAAAGGGACGGTTGAGATCAGTCTGTAGTCCTTAGGGACGTCAGGATTTGGTTCAGGTTGTTTAAGAATGGGGCTGACAGCAGCAAGTTTAAGACAGAGGGGAATGAAGCCAGTAGATACTGAAGAGTTTATAGCTGTAGCGATGAGTGGGGATAGTGTAGGAAAACAGGCCTTGACAAACTTTGAGGGGATGGGTCCAGGATGCAGGTAGAAGCTTTTATTCCTGTCATGAGGTTGGAGAGGTCTGATGGAGAGACTGGAGAGAACTGGGATAGAGGCTGGCAGGTTAAGGGAGGGCAGGTAACTGGAGGGGGAGCAGATGCAGAGTGGGTCAGGTCATTGTAGATGGAGTTTACTTTGGATTGGAAGAATGATAGGAACGAAGTTTGTTGACTGTGAAAGGCTGCGAACCATTGTCCAGGGGGTTGAGGCAGAGATATTCACAAGTCTTTCTTTGCAAGTCCAAGTCAAGTCTCAAGTCTTTGGTCATGACTCCAAGTCAAGTCTCAAGTCTTTGTGGGGTGAGACTTGGTCAAGTCTCAAGTCTTTGTGGGGTGAGACTTTGTCAAGTCTCAAGTCTTTGGTCACGAGTCCAAGTCAAGTCTCAAGTCTCTAAAAAATAAATCTCTCGTCTCTTCCTGTTTTAATGACCCTTCTATCATCTGCTGCTATTCGGTCTACTAAGAATACTGCACAGCTATATCTAAGAATTTCAAAGCATCTACTGTATCATTATCCCTCCT